ATAACTACAAAGTGTAATACCTATATCGTTGAAATGGGAAAAAATACATGATTTATTATTTTACAGGGTGTCCCATATAAAAATATTATAAGTTTTTCACACCAGAAAATAAAACCAAATATTCAATGTGATTTGCCAGGGGTTATTTCTTGTGGAAAGTTTCAAATACCATAATAATATTGGCAGATTACAACAGAATATAGACAAAGTATATATCACTGAAAAGGTAATTTCATGCCTATTTCAAAAGTGTAAAAATTTACAGGGTGTCCCATTTAAAAAAGATGAAGTTTGTGTCATATCTCTTAAACGGTACCTCGGAAAAAAAATGCAGTACGCCAATGAAATCTACGTAAAAAACTGCGTCATATATAATTTTCACCTTTTTGATATCTTTTTTCATACGCTAGATAATGACTACCCTTGATTGAAAAGTGATAATTTCAAGTTTCACCCTGTATCTCCGAAACGGTACAAGATAGAGACTTGCGGTTTGCGGTATTCGATCCTTCATAAAAAATTGGCCCAGGAATGTGAAATTAAAATGAATCTACCTCTACGAGTTTAGCAGATAACCCCCAATACCATATCTTAAATGGGGCACCCTGTACATGCGGCTATCACCAAAATAATCACAAACCCGATTTCAACCATGGGTAGCGACTATATGATGCCGAAAAAGTTCCTCGAAAAACCCTTCGCCATCGTGATTGTCCCAGAAGGAAATACCGGGGCAGCAACACCTAAACAAGAAATTGTCTGGTTTACTGACGGCTCTAAAACAGAAACTGGAACCGGCGCTGGAATATATGGACAAACTCCCAGATGCGACATCAGTCAACCTCTGAGAGAACACACTACTGTATTCCAAGCAGATATATATGCCATCGACTTCTATCTGAGAGAAAACCTTAGGAGGGGATATACAGGTAAAAACATCCTTATCTGGTTAGACAGTCAAGCGTCGATCAAAGCACAGCTTTGAAAAAAAAACTAACCCAAACTGGTCTGGGACTGCTTGGAAAACCTCAAAAACCTGGGTATGGCCAACAAGGTAACCCTTAAATGGGTGCCAGGGCATAAAAAAATTGAAGGAAATGAAAAAGCAGATGCTCTGGCAAGAGGAGGATTGGCAACCAGTTATACTGGTCCTGAACCGGCAATTGGCACCACAAAATCATCGGTAAGAACATAAATAAACCAATGGTATACACCCATTGGCAACACAATACAAAACCTACTGGCAAACTCTTCCGAAGCTCAGACAGAGTAAGCTAATGGTACAACAACCATCACGTAACCTTACTGAAGAAATCCTACAACTAAACAGGAATCAAATCAGCCTAATAACTATACTTATAACTGGACACTGTAGCCTGAGAAAACACCTTCACACAATGGGCATCCTCCAAGAAGAACCCATATGCAGACTTTGTGACGAGGAGGCTGAAACCGCCACCCACATAATCTTCGCATGCGAGGCTTTACGCTGGTGGAGATACAGACAGATAGCGCCAGAAAACCCTATAAACTCACCAAAAGTAACACGGTGAAGAGAATCCTAAACCTAATCAATCAGCATCGATCTGCGCATGCGCAGAATGGATTCGGTGGTGTCGTTGCGTTTCGTTGTACGCAGCGTTACGGGCCTAGCCTCATATCCGTATGCGAAAACGTATCTCAACCATTTGAGACTATTAAGAGATCTTCCTTTCTGTTATCACTGAAATAACTTCAAAAACATACAAAACAGTGCTTGATAGATAATTGAAGAAAACCTACAAACACAGCTACAAAATCAAAACACCGATGTTTGAGGTTAGAAAACGTTTCGGTGATAGATCACTTTAGGTCCCTTTGATTTTCAATATGATTTTGATTATTACTGATAAACAAAGCAATTTCAAGATGGTTAGCGAGAAAAAAAATATGGATCCTTGAATATTTATCAAGTTATGATTTTTTTAATTTAATTTTTTTCTTTGTTGATTGTGCATCTTTGATAGGTATAGCGATATTAAGCTGATAAGAAAGGTTGAGAAGCGAGAGGATATAAGGCATTAGTGATTAGTGATTTTTTACAATTAATATTATTTTGTTCATTTATTTTGTTTACTTTAATAGATTTCTATTTTATGGCGAAATCAGCATACCACCTTGGTAAATATTTACAATATTTGATGTTTATGGAAAGGGTTTTTTGAGGTTTTTTACTGATTTTATTGATTTTTTACTGGTTTTTTACTGACATTCTGAAAATTCCTACCAATTTGTAATTAGTTTCCTTAATTAACTTAGTAGTTGTCTATTAATGACCCGACGGTGCAATCTATGCATTGAAGTAAATGGCCAACATTTTGAATAATTATTGTAAACCATAATTTATTTGTTAATAAATAAGCAAAATTAATAAGTAAACAGTGATTTAATTATTGCGAAGAATAAAAGTACCAAACAATTTTTTCGCTCTACAGCCCAAATGGCTCATTTGCGGACATATGTTTATATAAACAAAAATGCTTGTTTTTTGTTTTGATGTCCCTTTCTACCCTTTAAAGTTTGTCGGTATCTTTTTAGGACACCCTGTATATTTAAATAATATATTGTTTATCAAAAAAATGAACTCATCCATATTTTTTTTTCTTCATTATGTCTTAATAATTGCTCCAATGCAAATTTGAACATAGAAAAATTGTCCGTTTTTAGGGACCTAATGTGTTCTAGACCCCAACGTGAGTCGATATGCGTTTACAGATGCGGATACGTAGGTATACGTAGAGACATTTAGGGTTTGCTTAAAATGTCTACTCCACATCGATGTACTTTTCAACCTTCTTCGAGGCTTGTAGGCGAAAAATGAGGCACCTAAATCTGTCACTATTTGACGGTCTAAACGCTAAAAGACTTGGGCCTCCACTGCACAGAACTCAAAACAATTTGGAAACAACGGAAACTAATTAATTATTTTGGTGAAACCAATAATAAAATACTGTTATTACCACATAAAAACATTAAATCATACTTAGAGCTCTTATTTTCTATTAATAATTACAATTAATATGTTTCACGATTACGGCGACGTCGCCTCAAAATCTATAGTTATTTTATTCCGACCCTCATTTTATTACCCTCTATTTATAAATTGTTACGTTGTCGGTAATGTCAAATCACTCTTGTACGTGCCCAAATTGGTTTTAGTTTTTATTGTTGTATAAACACAACATGAGATCGTAATGAAATTTTTAAACACCAATATGATATTTTTGTAATGTGTACTTTCAGCTGATGATTCAAGAAACGCCAACTTAGGATACGTCGAATCTTCACTGCCTTCTTTTGAGTTATAAAGATTGAAGGCGAGCTTTCAGAATTCCATCTTCACTCTGAAAACATTATAATTAGACCTGAATAAGTGTCATTAGCCAAAAAATATAGTTTCAATTAGTGGACGTGAGAGATTCAGTCCACCGTCCCTGTGGCTCAAATCCTAACAGATAAAAAAACATTAACTCATTAATTACACAAATTTTTGTTAACCTTGTTTATTCGTTAAACAAGGGCTATATTCTAAATGCGCATTTTCACGGATCATTTCCATTATTTCGACTCGTTATCCAGAACGGAATGTCGCAGGATGCTGCTTGTGCTGTCTCTAAAGGATGACGTATGGCCCAGCGGAACGTGACTAAGTGATAAGGTGAAGCACTTACATACGCCTAGAAATAGAATCTCCTACACTAGTTCTTTTAATTTAGTTACTTATCTAGGTGGTACATCCTCATATTAAAAATCCTAAAAGAATCTACATATTTTAATTCTTGTTATTGATTTTTTGAAGAAATACTTCAACAAGAGTTTTCCTTTGTATTATAAGAACAAGGTACAACGAAGGGTAGATACATAATAGGTTCGATTTTTTTATGGTTTTGCTTTTGTGTTTTCCTTCCGATAAGATTGGTTTTTCCAGTTTCATGGAAACAAAGAAATTTTTCATCAATCTCTGATAAACACAGTTTATGAAAAACTTTGGCCAGCGTATCCAGAAGTTATGATTTTGGTTGTTAGCAGCTCAGAGGTACAATAAATAATATCGAAAGTTTTCCTCGTGATGCTACATTTCATGTATTGGAGAAATTTCTCAAGAAAGTAAAAATTGAAGTTTTGGACTGTCCTGCATTTTCAAATCCCATCGAGCATGTTCGAGACATTGAGTGGAAAAGCGTGAACTGTAAAGGTAGAAGAGGAACTGCCTCTATTCATGTACTTTTTTGCTATCGATCAAGGCATGTTTTGAAATATCCAAAAATCGGATTCCAATACATATTTTCTATTATCCATAATTACTATTGGGTATACCGAACAGTCTTTATAAAGTGATATGCATGATAAAACAATGAGTCAAATACAATGCGATAACTCAATACCTTCTGCCCATATTGTTTCAGCGTATTGTATATAAGAGGCAGGTCGAAATGCATTGAAGCACTGCCTGACTGCCTATACATCAAAGATAAGGGGGTTTATATTCGAAATCAAGTCAATGGGTTACATGCAGCATTTTCTTTTCGTTATTCATCTTTAAACGTATTTTGTTTATATTATATTGATGAAAATTAACCCTGTATACAATATATGAATCCTAGGATAGAGACCTTGAGACACCCTTGTAATAATATATTCAAATATATGTATAAATATCTACCAAATGAACAATCTCTATTATCAGATGTCACCCCCGCGATCTCTTCGAGACAAAGTTGCTCGAAAACCAGAGTTTCGACAGAAACCGCTGGGGAGATAATGGAGTAATTAGCATTTATTCCAGAGTACAGAATAGAGGGGAGACTGATAGGAGTACGGATTGAAAGGCAATTCGTATAACAATTACACCGAAAAGGTGAAAATAACAATTTGAAAGCGTGAAAATCTGGATCATGCGCCCCGACGCTACGCCGGCACCCCGTTGCGTATTGTTTGCGAAACTTTTAGGAAAAGCGTCTCAGTTCGTTACAAAACTTGGCATTTGCCGGATGGATTGGAAATTCGAGATTTATTCCGATAAGTGCAAGTTTCCCGCGTGAACGGTTTGATAGTCTTTGAGTTGAAATTTGACTTTAGAAAGATTTAAAAACTGTATATTTCTTCCTGCTGTTTTTTTGAAAGTTACATAGATCGAGGTAAGTTATCAGTTTTTGAGTGTTTTATTTAGAAAAAAAATATTTTAATTTCAAGCGTTGCGGCAATTTGGACAAAATATGAGAATACCCTTTAATGATTACCTTTGAACATACAAACCTTGGCATGATAAGTAGAAATAAAATAAAAGTTATCTTATGAAATACTTGATTTTTCCCAATATACATAATGCCAAAATTTTGAATGAAATGGGCTTCAAATATGGGTTTGTTCGTTGTCATCAGCCAAAATAATCTTCACACCACAAATGAAGTTTTGATAGTTTGATGAAGTTTTGCCATGGTTTATAATTTGGAAGAACTGCCATTGTTTACAACCAACTTCGTGATAAGGTTTTTGATTTAGATTGATATAATTTATTGGTTGATGGACTGTAGACTTATTTCTCTAGATATCATTGCTAACAAAGTTGTTGCTGTCGGTTGTTTTTTTGTCAACTTTTTCTTAGGGTTCCGCGTGGGCTTGCATTATGTCTTATTTCTAGTAGTTTTTTCATCAAGTACCTACCCTTCATGTTGACCTTGTGTTGTTCATTCGTTCCATTTAATATATCCGAATCATCGTATAACCCCCCACTCTATATTATTATTGCTTATTGATTATACATTTTAATCCCCCCTGTCTGAAGTATTTTTCATTTTGTTTAGTTTAGTTTTGTTTTCTATCTCCATCAGGAATCTCATTTCGATTGCTTCCAAAGCCTTTTGGTATATTTTTCGTTTGGTACATGTCTCAGACGCATATGTTAACAGAGGTGTGACAACCTTTTTAAGTATTTATACTTTTATTATATCTTTAGAGACTTTTTTTCCTCGGAATGAGCTTTTAAAGATATTATATAATGTCCCTTCTTTTGTTCTTCCTTCCCTGACATCTTCATTAATTTTTTTGTCTTCTGGTCAAAATGTTCAGGGTTTTTTTAATTTTTTTTTTTTTTAACCCTTTGTAAATAATATGCCTTCAGCATAACAAACTTTGCATGTTCCAATATCCCACTCAATAACACTTTTTTACATTCTGATTCTCCTTTCAGTCTTATTTTAATGAAACACTTCTTCCAGTGCCTATCCGTTACCGAATGTTGGCAACCATTCTAGCAATGATAATTATATTGTGACCTGTGGTGGATGTTTCAAAGCAGGTTCTTAAGTTGTTCAGCCAGGATATTCGTCTTCTGCCGATGCTTCTCCTGCCCTGGAATTTTCCTTGTAGAATGCATTTCAGCAATTTATATTTAGTTTCGTTTCTCATAATGTGACCCACATAATTCAATTTTCTACGTTTTACTATATGCACATTATTTCTCTCTCTTTATTAAGTTTTTGCAGCATTTGGATGTTCGCTACTACCTTGTTTATCCATGATATGTATTTGAGGATTCTTCTATAAGTCCACAACTCGAAGGCTTCCAGTCTCTTTATTGTTGTCTCCATCAAGGTCCAAGACTCTACTCCGTATAACAAGATAGAGAATTTGTAGCATCTGAGAGGTTTCAGTTTTAATTTCAAATTGAAATTATGTGTTTTGAATAATTTAGACATTTGGATGAAAGCTGCTCTTGCTTTTTCAATTATTGATCTTATTTCTTGGGAATGGTCCCACTGTTCATCTAGTACGGTAACAAGATAAGTGTATGCTGGTACTTATTCTACGACTTTATCATTGATGGAAAACTGTACTTCTCCAATTCTTTCCTTGCTAATTATCATGATTTTTGTTTTACTGGTGTTAACTTCTAACCCATATTTCTTACTAATTTCAAATACGTTGTTCATTAAAAGCTGTAGTCCTTGTGCAGTGTCAGCAAAAATAACGGTATCATCGGCTTATCTAAAATTATTTATTCGTTCGCCATTTAATGGTACTCCTGCTTCCGTGTATTCTAGGACTTCTTGGAAGATTGCCTATGAGTACATGTTGAATATAAGAAATGACAGCATACATTCTTGCTGTACTCCTCGTAAAATTTCCACTTCCTCTGTTTTCTCATGATTGATTCTAACAGAAGCTGCCAGATTTCAGTATAGGTTTTTGATTATGCGTAAGTCTTTGCCGTCAACTCCATTATCTTGCAGAACTTCCATCATTTTATTGAACTTTATCAAATGCTTTTTGATAGTCAATGAAACAGGCATAGACATTACAATTCATCTCTCTGCAACGTTGGAAGAGCACCTGTACACTGAATAAGGCGTCTCTTATTCTAAGACCTTCCATAAAACCAAAATATGTTGGTGATACTTGTTACTCGCAGATCTTGTAGGCTTGAAACCGTATTGCCCGGAGCGTGACGCAATAATAAAATGGTAGGTGCTTCAGTGGTAAGAGGCGAGGAAATGAGAGCAGCTCGGTAACGCCAAACTCTGTCCACCCGAACGGGTCAAACTGTAGCCGGAGTATGTCGGAGCAACTCGGGAGCGCTCAAAGGGTAGTACCCGAAAGCGGCTCTGATCTCAATTATTCTTTTGGTAGTTTTCCACTGTTGTATATTTCATTGACTATTTCACTAGAGTGTATTACACCGGCAATAAATTCGGTATTCAGCTGACAATGGCTGGGTTCGTTTATTACATCTGCGAGCAAAAAGAGCAAATTTTGAAGGACGTCAGGTGACCACTTATCTTTTTTCACGTGTCAAATCACGTGACATTTGTCAAATTTTGCTCGCAGATGTATTAACCGAACCCAGCCAATATTGCTACCTGGACAATACTAACAACATACAACAACACACTAAAAACTAAGGAGCACAACAATAATTAAGCAATATAATAATTTTAGCGACACTAATTTTTAATTAAATGTTCAAAGTGGGCCCCATTATTTGCTAGACAGTACCCAAGTCGGTCATAAATCTCGTGCAGTGTGTTACTCAACATGATCGGTGTTACGAGTGCAATTTCGATGAGGATTCTTTCGCAGAGATCATCCAAATTTTCTGGACGATTTTTGTAAACACGGTTCTTCAAATGAACCCACAAGAAGAAGTCCAGGGGAGTCATAACAGGGGATCGAGGTGGCCATTCTAATGCCCCACGTTTTCCAATGAGCCTCCCTGGGAAGTGGATGTTAAGCACCTGCCTGGCTTCTCCTGAATAATGGGGCGGAGCACCATCATGTTGGTACCAGATTCGACCTGCATTCATGTTATTGAATAGCAGGAACTATACGATCTCTAAGAAGTTCGAAATACTTATGTCCTGTTAATTTACCTTCCATGAAAAAAGGTCCGATAATAGTGTTTAATTAACTTTCTCAGGATATTGAGTGTGAACTTCTTCCATCCAATGGGGGTTATCTCCAAATTCTACAATGGGCTCTTTCACTAATTTTTGCAATTGGCATATTTGGATAAGGCAACTAAAAACAGAATTTTCTGTATTTTTACTTTTGAAAAATTCATAGTCCTTCTTGAGAAAACAGAAAAAAAAAGAAATACCTCCAAATAAAAACCCAGAATTTATTTCTATGACGTCGGAGCTCGCAATTTGACCGTGTTGCCACTAATTGTCAATATTGAAAATTTGTAATAGATTTAATTCTGAAATGTTGGAAAAATATCATGAAAAGTAGTTAAATTAATTAGTTATGGATTCAAGATTTTATAACTTTTTTATTGAAATTATGCTTAAACACAATTTAATACAATTTTTTAAGTTCATTTTTATTTTTTTTTTACGTTGCACTACATTTAGTCACCACCGACAACAGCGCATTCGAACCTTTACCTGCTATTACTACAGGGTAACACAGCCGAGGCGGTCAGCTCCTTGTAACAACAAGCGAAATGAAATATATTTATGTGACGTTAGCAAATCGGCGCGTTTTAAATCAATTTGAATTTCGCCAATTTCAAATGCCTGTAAAAAACTTATTTAACCTTGTAGAACATTTTTTTTTTTGGTATATATGCCTAAAATAGTCCCTCCTTTGGGATTTTATACTTAAATTATTACGTATTTAAATTTTAGTGAAAGAGGGCCGGTTAACTTGGCCGTTCAAGCAAAAAGTAGTTTCGTCGCTGAGTGAAATTTTATCAGCAAAAGCAGGATCTTAGTTGATCTTTTCCATCATTATTTCAGCGAATTCGTTGCGGTGGTTGAGATCATTCTCTAAAAGCTCTTGAGTATAATGAATTTTTTTTACTACTAACCTGAGAAATTGTCATTATTCAATCTATTTTTCTAGGAAAAAATTGAATTTCTCTCCCTAGGTGAATAATGAAAATAATGAAAAAATACCTAGGTTAATAATGAAAATGACGTCATGACGCAAGGATATTGTCATGTTTCTATTGGTTCAATTTCATTTCCATACGTCAATTTGAAAAAAAATACAGGTTTCTGTAGGTACATAGGAAGTTATCATAAGCTGTTGATAGAGGGCAGCACTTTCAAGAGGGCGTTCAAAAAAAATAATTGGAGCACAGATTTTAAACAAATTTTTCATTTTCTACTAGCAGTAGTAAAAAAAATTCTATATATTCCTCGGTAGAGAAAGTCATTATATACCTCACTCATTATAAACCTCGGCGCGAGCGCCTCGGTTTATAAAAGCGCTCGGTATATAAGGACCAACTTCTCTACCTAGGTATATAATATACTATTGTACGACTTCAACTTGATTTCCTTCAAGATATTCCTTACAGATTTTTTATGGATCCTGTTTCCTGATAACGTCGACAAGATCTCAATACAGTAGACCTTGTGATGGGTTTGTTGAGATAGCGGTCATTGAACAAGTCGCAAACTTCTTGATATGTCCTTTTTTTTTATCTCCATATTCACGAAAAATCAACATATCAATACGTTGGGTCTCTGACGAACAAAATCCATGATAAAATTATGATTCCGTTATCATTATAAACAGTTTATAATATTTAGCTGCTTAACTGACAGTGACATTGTCATTGTTGTAGCATGGCAACAATTGTTTCAATAACAACTGAAGCGGGCCGATAAGTTTGGTGCTCATTCTAAAA